TAGATAATCTGCTTCGTGCTAATTTTAATTTTTTAGTTTATCAACTTGTAGCTCTAATTTTGTCTAAAATATTTCATTATTTTATTACTATGTACAGATTAAGATAAATTTTAATAATAATTAAGTCATAAATGATAATACTTTATTTTATGACTAGATCAAATCTCGTGAACATTTAACATCATGATACTGCTCCTATGATATTATTAAAAAAACACAATTTTTAAAATCTCCATAAAAGGTTATTGTTAAATAACAGGCAACAGCCGACCGCTAGTTGCTATACACGTTAGTAATATTTAACTAATAACTAATATATGTAGGTACAATTTATTGTTTTCTCCATCACAGTACCAGTATACGATTTATTTTAATTTATATGTAAGAAAATCGATTTTTCTTTAGAAAATAACGAGAAATTAATATACAGGATGAGGCAGTAAAACGGCGATTTTCTAATGTATTTAAATGGTAAAACCCGTTTCACTATCCCACCCTTTACATTTTAAAAATCTATGAAAAGGTTATTTTAGTTGCATTTTATTTTGTACATTGTCAATCTAGTAAAATTGAATTATAAAATAGCTTTGAAATAATATAATCTGTGAAGTATAAATAGTTTGTGTGAGATTGCTTTAATGGAAGTATATAATACATAAATATTAATTTTATTGAGAATAAGCGATTATAATTTAAACTATGGAGTACAAACGATTGAAACATGAATCGTCGACCATTCCAACAAAATATAACAAGACATTGTATATGTGTTATTTGGTCCAATAAGTTTTTGCAAAAAAAAAAAAACCAGTACAGTGGGGTCGGTGCATAGTGGGGACGGAGCATAGTTGGGTCGGGGCATATTGGGGACGGGGAGGTCACAGGTTTACAGGAATTTTTAAATCTGAAAGTGATAAAATCACTTTCGAAAAAACGCTTCGATGCAAATCGGTAGTTAGTATTTTCAAGCCAGTACAGTCCAAACCAAGCGCAGTATAAACCAGCAAAGTTAAAAAGTTTTAAATGAAGGTTCTGTATTTACAAATGAGCATCAAAGCGTTAATTTGAAAGTGATTTTATCCGAGAGGACTAGTACAGTAGAGTATAGGCATAATATAATCAAAGCAATGAGGAAACGGAGAGGTCACAGGTCTACAAGAATTATTATAAATAAAAGTGATAAAATTGAATAAAATCGCTTTCAAATTAACGCTTTGATGCTCATTTGTAAATACAGAACCTTCATTTAAAACTTTCTAACTTTGCTGGTTTATACTGCGCTTGGTTTGGACTGTACTGGCTTGAAAATACTAACTACCGATTTGCATCGAAGCGTTTTTTCGAAAGTGATTTTATCACTTTCAGATTTAAAAATTCCTGTAAACCTGTAACCTCCCCGTCCCCAATATGCCCCGACCCAACTATACTCCGTCCCCACTATGCACCGACCCCACTGTACTGGTTTTTTGTTGAAATGATAATTCTGCTATGCATAACCCTAACGTTAAAATGTATTGTGATTGTGTAGTGTGTATTGTGTAGTTTTCGTGGAATAAAACAAACATATTGGTGTACCTCTGTCTGCTCTTTAAAACTGTCCAAGCTCATTTTTAAATATGTTGTATTATTTATTTTCGTTAACTTTCAAGAAAAAAAGTGTATCCTCAAAATATAATTTTTTCAACATTTTGTTGACGTTCAAGTGCCAATTTGGCGTATTTATAAGTATAGTTCTATTGTGGACAAACAATTTTATATTTTCATCTATTTTGATTTTAAAGATATATATTTTTTTCCCATAAAAGCATAAAAAATAACTTTGCCTTCAAAGTTAAAGTATGAAATTAGTTTAGTACTAGTTAAGTAAAATGAAGTTTAGGTTAAAACTATTTAAACCTTAGAGGTGAAATAACTTTGAAAGTGGATAAATCAATAAAAAGGATATCTTTCTATGGATATTTTTTAAAGATGTCAGTACAGCATAAAATATAATATAATAAAAGAAACGAGATTTTAGGTTGTTGGTTTACCTAAATATCAATACAACCAACTGTTTCGAAGCAGAAAATTACTTATTTATTAATGTATATTTAAATACCGTTAAAATTGAACATTACCTGATCTTTTATTGTTTTCATAAAACCTATATGTAAATGCCACAAAAGCTCAAAAATGTTTTGGTATGTAAAATTTACAGTTACATAATTTTCAGCAATGTCCATATAGATTTATTCAATTATACATTATTAAATTATGTATATTTTTGGGATAATAGTTATAATAAATGTAAAATTTAAAAAAACGTTAAAATATCTCACAATCTATTGCTATACCTTAGGAATACTAATAGCTAAGAGACATGTTAATCTAGTTCTAAAGGTATAAATACTATTTAACCCTACACAATTTATCAATAGAACTATTTTTCTTACACAAATACTAGTGCATGCGACTTATGAATAAGTTTCTTGATATCAAATACTTATTCTTGAAAAACGTATTACCTTATATATAAAAATTTCAGTTAATTAATGTCAATATCTGCGAGGAAAAATCAGTGCAACATTAATTTATGCCGTACTTGGAAAGCTCAAAAATGTTTTAGTTATATAGCTTTTAATTATACCACTAAACTTCCATTTGACTACCAATTTATTGGCTTTGTAAGTTGAAATGGGATATTAGGCGGTTTATATATTGATGTGACCGTACAATTTGTAACTTCTACTGTGAGAATTTCTATGTTGTTGATTTCTGTATGACTTGTTGAGAGGATCTTTAGATTATAATTAACAAATATCATACTTCCATACTTCTTAGGTGGTCTCTCAATTGCCAGCTTCATTCCCCTTATCTTCGAACGAATGTTTGATGAAAAAATATATTATAAATATTTACAAGTAAGTTTTAAGTGGTCGGCATTGAAGAACAAGGGCTTAGATTGAGAGTGAAAAAGAGTTTACAAAAATCCAAAAAATGTAGACACCCTCCAAAGTGTTGTTCAAAGTAGGCCACTGAAAATGCATGTATCTTATATACCTATTTTATACTAGTTTTCAGAAATGTTTTGGAATGATACGTCCAACTGGGCCAACGTTTTTTCCATATATACTGTATACTTGTATTTAGTGTTAAAGCCTCCGAAATCTGGAAACTGTTCGATTCTGGAAGTTTATGTATTTTCTTAACCAATATAATAAAGAAACTATGCGTAACAGCAGTATTATGACTACACCGTCGTTTTAGGACAAAAAAATACATAACCTGTTTATCTATAACCATGATTATATGGTATATGTGTAATCAGTAAAAAAAACATTGGTAAAATATAAAGATGAATAAGCCAAAATAAAAACTAAGCCTAATGACAAATAGCGCAAAACACTTCAAGTCCAAGTATGGGTTTTTTGAGATATTTATGTACAATGCAACTGTATACCATATGCTATACCTCCTCAAATCCAATTATGTTAAAAATCGTTTCAAAGAGTGATTTTAAATTATAATTAAGTCCGTTATGTAATATCTCAAAGTTTGTACAATCTTAAAAAGCTCATTCTCAAAACACCCATTTTTGGACATCATGTGTTTTGCGTAAACGGGAACGATATGTGTTATTAGATATAAGTATTACCTCGGTTAACTAAATCAACATAATTACGCGAACAACCTTAACCAAATATGTAAATAATTCTGGTATAAAATCCTAATTCAATAATTGATCACATTCTCTCTTCTATTTTAACGTAACACCCGTCGACAAACGCTTGTGTCCCAGCATACGTTAAACGAAGATTATCTGGTTTTGGACACTTGTCCGACGGACTGAAACGATAAGATCTGACCAATGTTGAGACGACAGATTTCATTTGGAGCATTGCATATTTCATACCAATGCAATTTCTGTAACCACCGCTAAAAGGAAGGAACGAATACGGATGGCGACTGCGACATGCTTTGGGCAAGAAGTGGTCCGGATTGAACTTTTCTGGTTCCGGATAAAGGTTTGCATTAAAGTGTATGCGATCAGAGCAAAATATGACCGATGAACCTGTGGATATTTTTTTATAATTACCTAAATTAGTAATTTCAAACACCGAATGTAGCAATTTACCAAACAAATTTGTCTACGGCCGTACCTGCAGGGATTAAGTAGCCTCCGATAACAGTTTCTTTTTCAACGTTTCTGCCAAACAAGGGAAAAGGGGGAAAATGTCTTAGAGTTTCTTTGATTACACGTTCCAAGTATTCCATCTTTTGTAAATCCTCGTAGGTAGGTGGTCGATCCGGATCGCCAGTAGAAAATATTGTCAATAACTCTTCCAATACCTATTAAGAGTGATAATTAAAATTTATCATGTTTTTGTCACTAAGCATACCTATAATGGGTATTTAATTTAAAAGTTCATAATACTGAATACGTAAAATAGTATACTTTATTTTGTATATCCTGATGATGAGCCAACATAAATATTGAACACGCTATCGCCAAAGCTGTAGTATCTTGACCCCTAAAACCAAATATTAAGGATAGAATTAAAGGAAATACAGCGCTTTAACGATTTGATATGTCATAGGTAACGCATTTTGTATTTGTTAGAGAATTGAATGTTATCAAATTTACAACCTGTTTTGATATTCACGAATAAGAACACAAATATATAGTTGATATTATTTATCAAAATAAAGTATACCGCTAATAAATGTTAAAAAAAAATATATATATATTAGAGTAATTCAACAAATAAGATCATTTTTTTAATTTAAATAATGACGCAATAAAAAATTATGAAATTGTTTTGACCGGTTATTATAACATTTTGTCTAGACCATTCGATCAATTTGAGTAATCATCGATTTTATGATAATTGAAAAGTACCACTTTATCCACTTTATTAGCAAATAACGTACCAACTGTGTCTTAACATTTTTTAAGGTCAACTATAATACACATGCCAACAATTATTTCTTAATATAATGTTTAAAAAAAAAAAATGTACCAATTATAGTAGTTATTATTTCATCCCGTAATTGATTAAATGACATCTGATGTTCATTCTCGAGCAGTATTTCAATAAAAGATTTACATTTAAGGCCCATACACTCTTCGTTATGTTCTCCTTGACTGTTTATCCTATTTCTCAATTCTTTTTTTTTTCTCTGGACTAAATCTTCGATGAAACGGTAAATTATACTTTGGCTAATGTCATGTTTACGTTTATACGTCGACAACTGAAACAGACTCCTGTTCAGAAACCATGGGTGTGTTACTCGGTATTCTACAGCCTACAAAAACAAATTTTTATTACTAACAGCTGACATGCCAGCTCAAAAAAAAACATCAGTCAAGTACGTTTAAGTGTATAAAGTATGGCTAGTGATATTGAAAACTCTTTTACACTGCAGGCCCGGATTAATGGACCCCATTCTAGGGTCTCCATAAACTACCAAAATAAAATAATTTTTGTTTATTAAAAATGCGAACAAACCTTTTGGATGAAATGTAAGTTCTCCAAAAATTCGTGTTTGGCGTTTTTCTGTGTATTAAATTTTACACCTAAAGCGGTTCTTCCGATCATCTCCATTGTCGCCATCTCGATTGCACAGCTTATTTCGCATTCATTTGTATTGCTATCCCGTTTCTCGTACAATACTTGGCTCAGGAATTTGGCTTCCTCGTAAAATATCGGTATGAACGATTTTAGCATCGAAAATTTAAACCCCGCGGCTACCAATTTTCTATAATTATCGAAACAAATTGAAACTGATATTTGATAATCGGTAACTTCGAAAAAGTGACATTGTAATAATTGGTGATAGAAATTAAAAACTAATTACATTCCGTAATCGATTGCAAAGGGATTACAGGTTACACGTAATTCACGATTAATATTAAAATTGGATCAAATTAATTTCCAAAATCCTAAATTTTTGGATTAAGGATTATATTTAATCTTTAGTTTACGGATAACAGTTTATGGTTAATATTATTGATCACAGGAGATCACACTAAAAAAGCTCACCTGTTATTTTTCCATTCGTCAAACACCCTGTTTGTAAATAATCCGTCGCCCATAATTGATTCGCTAGCAACATTATAAAGTTTAGCTTTGTTGAACATATTAGGATTGGTAAGAATCGCTTCTATTTCTTCGGGGTTTCCAGGAAATACGTATAATTGATCCAAAATCCAAGCTTTGAATAAAGTATTCTCGAATCTATACCACAAAGACAACAAAACTAATTACTGTTGCTCTGAAATAACTAGAAATTGAGAATACCAAAAGAGTAATAATATGTAATAGTTAGACATGAACACAGCATAGTTACTTTCTGCCAATTTTTAATATATTCTTCAATAGTTTTTCAGGTCCTCCAAGTAAAACAGGTAGCATTCCCACAAAAAAGAAACCATCTGGACCTGGTATTCGTTTTGCTAATGATATCTTTCTTCGGCTTACAATTTTATAATACACAACTACTAAAAATAATATTACCGCTGTATGTATAACGATAATGTTATTAAGGCTTGTATCATTTATTATGTCCGACACCTGAAAATATTGTGTCCATTAATTAATATTTTTTTATATCATAGTATTCTTTTTGTTTAATTTAGTGCTATACTAAACAATTTTATGTTTGAGCTAAAATATTAGTACAAACTTTACAATTTTAGATAAAAGACAATTTAGAGGGATCTGAATAGAAGATAGTATAGTGTTATCATTTGACCATTGAAAAGGGTTTTTCTTTAATTTAAATGGGTTTATTATTACTTGAACCCCTAGCCATTATAATAATTGAAATGTTGAGTTAATGATTTTTTTACCTGATGAGACGAAACCATTTCATTAAATTTAATTTTCTATAAGACGATGATTATCTGAGCAGTTATACACAACGAGTAATTGATTTTTTAATTATTCTTAACATTTATATTCTCATGCCTACGAACATTCAAAACGAATAAATAAACGATTATAAATAATATTAATGATTTTAAATAAACGTTATTACAATTTACGTTCACATACATAATCGATGTGAAACTTGCATTTGAATAAAAATATGAATTCTATTGATGTGTTATAACGTATAATAAGTATAATCTACTATTGCATATTCAATAAGGTCATTGTATACAATTTCAATATCTACAATATCACTATTATAGTATTATATTTACGCATTAATAAAAAGAATATCGTAACTAAAATGCTTCACATAGCTTAATGTATGTGAACTTGAATATAAATAACACATATTTAACATTTAATATTATTTGTTTGTTCTGAACACTCGCAGGAGTGTGTATGGCATAAGAGTGTAAGTGTTAAGAATGTACAAACAAATTGAATTAGTCATTATGTATATCTGCTAAGAAAATTTCAGAAACCACGGGTTTATTATTCGGTACTCAAAAACCTACAAAAACAAATTTGTTTTACAAAAGGCTGTCATACTAGCTCAAAAATATCTTCGGCATAGAATATTTTAGTTACAAAGTATGCCAGGAATAGTGATAATTTGTTTACACTACAGGTCGTATTAATAGGGACCGAGGAAGGCTATGGCCCCGGGACCCACATCGAACCACAGCCCTAAAGATGTAACGTGCAAGTGTTTATTTTATTTGTTTATTTATTGTCAATAAAATTCTTTATTAATTGATTTAATTGATTACAGTTATGATGAATTTCCGAAGATACGAGACCTCCTTGTATATAATATTATTTAGGATTAAAAAATTGGCAAGTATGTTTTTACCAAAAAAACCGGCCTAAAACACTTATTGGATTTTGATATAAATGTCTTTTGGTTATCGAAATATGTTGTTTAAAAAATGTGATATTTATGTTGTATACAAAAGTGAAAATGATTTAATGATGATAAAAATTATTTTTAGTAATTACTAATGGTAAGGTTAAGTTAGGTTAATAACAATTAATATTGCCTAGTAGAACTTTAACTAGTTTGTAAGGCGAAAAAATGTAATTAAATGTAGAAAGGGTGTGTGGAACCAAATGATAATTAATTTATCTTACACTATACTAAGTAAGCAACTTAAGAAACACCATGGAGCATACACAAAAATAAAAACATTAATGTGAAAACAATACCTTTGCAACTAAGTATTGAAGCTAAAATGTTTAACGATTAGGTTATTAGTAAATTACTAAGAACATTAAAAATTATTTTTACCTGCCAAAACGAAACCATTTCGTTTAATTGCATTTTCTATAGGATGAATATATGAAATACTAATACTACAACCAACTTTTAGTAACTATACAGTACGACTAACTAGGTTTTTCATTATTCTAAAATGTATAATCTCATGCGCACTCTTACTAGTACTTAGAACAAATAAATAGTATGAAGTTTACAAAAGAACATCGTTGTAACTAATAATTACGTTCATAAGCTATGGGAAACTCATATTTTAATTAAAATATAATTTTTTAATATTTATACTTTAAGCTACTATTCAATATTTTTATAGCGTTGAATTAATAATATTTTACCTACTAAAAAGAAACAATTTCATTTAATTAAATTTAAGTAGGAAGTACGATTATTCAGTAATTATTCAATATTTTGCATTATATGAAATGAAGCCCGCATAATTAGGTCGTAATAATAAGGGTGTTACTGCATATATATATATATATATATATATATATATATATATATATATATATATATATATATATACAAATCAATGTAAAGACAATAATGTGGTTAAAATTGCATTATTTGGGGTTATGTAACCTACCCGACATAATTTATTTATTATTTATTTTGGTATAATAATAACCTAGGGATTGCATTACCTTATAATTTAATAAAATTTAGTTTTAGCATCCTATAATTTCTATGGTGGAATACGAGATTTAAAAATATAGCTATATACATGTGAAACATTTTTTTTATAACAATACCGCTTTTTATAAAAGTTAATTATTTTACCAACGTTTCTATGACCCATGCAGATTTTTTTGTAGAAATATAGCATAATACATGTATATTTTTAATATTCTGCAGAATTATTGCTTTTATAATCATTTTCTAGTGAATAAAAAAATAATTGTTCTCGGGTCCATATGAAAAAGCGTTAAATTGGTGTTTTATTTTGCATGATTTCAAGTTCACAGGTGTGTTTTTTTTTATTATTAACTTGCTAATACTTTTATGATATATAGAGGGACCATACGAGTAAATCGGTTAGGGAATTTTTTATTCTAAAATATCACTTTTTCAGGTTGGCCTAAAATTTAAAAAAAAAGTATAGTATTACATTTTTTATATTATATTTTTCAAATGAACTTTCAGTTGATTTATGATTATCTTACTGGATGTAAACTTAACCGAAATTAGCGTAAAATGTAAATAATATTAAATCTTTCTAAATTTTAAGCCGTCTTAGACCCGGCCGGTGAAAATAACGAACGTTTGACCTAAAAGAAATAAAACACCCTGACTTTAAAATCCTAAATTATTGGAATTTGTTTTCAAGTTTTAATAAATGAGTAATCATTAAAAAAAAAACATTTTAAACTTTATTCCTTTATCGTATTCCTATTCATGCTGTGTACTGATATTTTTAATTGTCCATGGAAAGGTATAATATTTAAAGGAAGGCTATGGCCGGGACCCACATAGAACCACAGCCCTAAAGATGTAATGTGCAAGTGTTTCGAAACGTTGGCGAACTAGTCTCTTGACTAGTTCGCCTTTGACTAGATCCCACTTAGATGTCTTCTTCCAAGTTGGAGTAACCTCAAGTCATGTAAATAGAGTAAATATTCTCGAATGTTTCTGAAAGTAAAATTTTTGAACAAAACATCAATATAAGATAATAGTAAGTACCGCAAAGAGATACGAAGAATTTACACAATGTTGTCGTATAGCTATGAAAAATATATTTGAGTCTACCAAAAAAGCTGTTGTTCAGAAAAAAGACACTTCATAATTACCTCACACTAAAAACAAACGTACGTAATCTGGAAAACTTCAAATACTTGATCATATTATTTTTTAGAAATAAAAAAAAATTTTTATTGTATTTAAAATTTAATTTTAAAATAACTCACTCTAAGCATTTGCAAGTAATAAAGCAGAAAAAAAAAAGTAAAAGGATAAATTAAACATATGTAATTTGTAAGTCTACCAAAAAGCAGTTGTCTCGAAAAAAGCCATATCAATGTGATCTCACATATAAAACAAACATAGATAATCTGGAAAATTTCATATACTTGACCATATTATTATTTGAGAAATTAAAATTAAATTTAAAATACAATAAACTGTGATAACTAACTTCAAACATTTGCAAGTTATAAAGCAGGGAAAAGAAAGTAAAAGAGGATACAAAAACATATGTATGTTTTTTAATAAAACATATTTTTTTTAAAATAGTGTACCAAAAAGTGATACCAATTTTAAAAAAAAAATATTTTATTGTTAAAGTTGGTTCCTGGAATTTTGTTTCCTCGTAAAATATTGGTACGAACGATTTAAGCATCGAAGGTTTAAACGCTGCAGCTACCATTTTCTATACATTTTATAATACCAAATTAAAATTATATTTGATATTAGGAAAATTTGAAGGAAATATTATAATTATTGGCGAGAAACTGAAATCCTAGAATTTAAAATTTAAGTATTAATAGTTTACATTATATTTTAAAATGTGTTATACATATTGACGCTATATTATTTTTGTTATAATTATAATGATAAATAAATATAAAATAACTCTGAAAATTTTACCTGTTTTTTTTCTATTCATAAAACTTCTTGTTTAAAAATAATCCATTGCCCAAAATTGATTCGCTAAACACATTATATTCTTTAGACTTGTTAAGCAGATTAGGATTGGTAAGAAATGCTTCTACAACCTCAGGTGTTTTAGAAAAAATGTACAATCGATTAAAAACCCAAGCTTTGAATAAAGTGTTCTCGTAACTGTATTACAAAGACAACGAACAAATTATTGTTGCTCTTAAATAAGTAAAAAATAAGAATATCAAAAAAAATATATAAATATATATTAGATAAACGTGAATATATGTAATTACGTTCTGAAAATATTAATCATATTCAATTATAGTTTTTCAGGTCCTCCGATTAAAACGGGCAACATTCCCACTAAAAAGAATCCATCTGGGCCGGGTATTCGATTTGCCAATGACGTTTTTCTCCGGTTTGCTATTTTATAGTATAGAACTACCAAAAACAATATTACCGCTATAAGTATAACGATAATGTTATTTAGGCTTGTACCATTTATTATGCGTGACACCTGAAAATATTATATCCATAAATTCTTATTTTTGTTAAATATAATCTAGTTCTATCAAGATTATATACTCAAAACATTGTTGAAAAAAAATAATCAATATGAAGTAATATTTAGTTTAAAATAATGACTCTATTCCAAGAATAGACGAAGTTGAAGATGGATTTTGAAAGCCAGGCAAAGTGACTAATTCATCATCAACTACATTATTATTATTACTTATTGTTCATTAAAATATTTGGAAGTTATAACCTATTACGATCATAAAACATTTTGACAAAAAAAGAATTAGTATATTTGACAAAATTTAAATATTTTATCTACTTTAATTAGCCTAATCTTATTCCCCTAGCCATAAATAGTTTTTCAGTTCCCGTCAATACCTAGTAATAAGATGATTAGTGGTTGATCCTTAAAGTTAAAAGGTACAACTAAAACAGCAACGGAGTAGAAGATGAAGTCGTGGCTAAAACAGAAGTAGTGATGAAAATAGAACTTGTAACGACAGAGCTAATGTGATATGAGATACGCATAAAATAAAATATTAATAAGAAAAATAAAGACGGTAATGCATATTGGAGTTAGACTATAACAGGCTTGGAGGGGCTCACCACAATAAAATAACTATATATTTTTTCTTAGTTATCTCATTTTCCAGTTATCTGCAATTTACAAGTACAATGATGATTTGATAATATTGATTATCATATTAGAAACTTAGTTTTGTTTCTTAGGAAAAAAAAAATAAAACAACCTTGTTAGTAGTTCATTGTTATTTTGTTGATAAACTTCTAAAAAACTAAACGTCACTTAAGAAACAGTGTAGTCTTATAACCTTTATTGTCTATAGCGCTGTTACGCAACTAAAGTTTTTTTTATTTTTTCTGTAAACTAACACTTTATAAAATTACGTATAAAATACCAAAACATCAATAGCAATGGAAACTGAAATGTTAATACTTTCCTAGCACAATCAGTCAAATATTAAGCGAGTTAAAATATACTCTTTTTTTATTTTAGATATAATTTTTATTTTTCATAAATATTTATTTCCATAACAATGCACAAGGTTGTTTGGTTTTTTTTCCCAAGAGATAAAATTAATATTCTATTATGTTAATAAATATTATTATTATAGCATTGTTCTTATTTTCGCAAGTGTGTGTATTTTGCATGCCCTATAGTAAACAGTAATGTTAAATAGTGATAATGATAAATAATATATGCATGCCTGATGCCTTTTTAGCTTATTGTTCTGAATTAAACTGTACTGACATTTTAATCGTCCATTGAAATATTAATTTTTCCTGATTTTACTAATCTGAACAGTATGGAATTAGTTCTATAACAGGTATTAGTAAAAGTTGTTTCATTTCTTTTAGGTCTAACGTTCGTTATTTCCACCGGCCGGGTCTAAGACTGCTTAGAATTTAGAAAGATTTAATATTATTTACATTTTACGCTAATTTTGGTTAAGTTTACATCCAGTAAGATAATCATGAATCAACTGAAAGTTTATTTGAAAAATATAATATAAAAAATGTAATACAATACATTTTTCTTTTATTTTAGAGTTAATTCTTCAGTACATATTTAACTTCGAGGCCAATCTGAAAAGGTGATATTTTAGAATGAAAAATTCCCTAACCGATTTACTCGTTTGGTCCCTCTATACATCATAAAAATATGAGCAAGTTAATAATAAAAAAAAACATACCTGTGCACTTGAAATCGGGCAAAATAAAACACCAATTTAACGCTTTTTCGATTTTTAATATTGACCTGAGAACAATTATTTTTTTTATTCGCTAGAAAATGATAATAAAAGCAATAATTCTGCAGAATATTAAAAACATACATGTATTATGCTATATTTCTACAAAAAAATCTGCATGGGTCACAGGAACGTTGGTAAAATAATTATTATTGTTTTAAAAATATTTTTTCATATGTATATAGTTAAATTTTTAAATATCGTTTTCCACCATAGAAATTATAGGTTTGTTAAAACTAAATTTTATTAAATTATAAGGTATGAATTCCC